ACTGACTTACATTACCTGCAATCAGAGCTATCCTCAAGAGAGACCTGAGTTATTGAGCACCAAAACTTAAATGGTGTAAAACTTGTGTACATTTCTTTATTCTGGTACTGATCAATCAGAGAATCATTCCTCATGACAAAATCTTACAACTCAAAGGAGGTGTGTTCTCGTAGGAAGGAAAACACTGGGTTCAGGGTCACAGATTACCGGCGGGCGGCATGGACAAGGTGAATGAGCTGAACTGTACACAGCCTGTGTGCATCCTACAGTTTCATCTAGCAGACGCTTTTATCCAAAGCGACGTACATCCGATGGGGACGACCATCCTGCTCGCCGTCTACTTCCTGGTGTGGCAGACGTACGTGGTGCGAGCAGGCGCCATCATCCTGGGAGAGGATAGCGTCACATGGTGAAGGACCACAAGTACCTGAATGTCTACATCGACAGTTGTCTGACCTGGAGGAGCAACACTGACGCTGTGCTCAAGAAGAGCTCTCATTACTCTCTGCTCTGTAGGGTCTGTGCGTTTCTACAGTTCTGTTCTTCTGCTGCTGTTACAATAGCTGCATGTGTTACGCTGATGTTTGCAGGACTTTAATTTCTTTATTCATTATCTATTTTTATATTTAGCATTTGACACTTCCTGGCGCATTTTTTACTTTGGTACTTTTTTAATCATAGTGTATTTTACACTTTATTGGGCATTTTGTACTTGTTATATTTTGCTTTTGTATTGTGGTGGTGGCCACTGGCTTCTGTAACAACAGAAATTCCTCTTGGGAGTCAATAAAAGTATTTCTATTGTATTCAAATCTCAGCCACATAACGTTTCAGTTTCTCAGCAGGCCTCGAAAATGTGTATTTTGTTTTAAATGGAGGATCTGTACTTGTTTTAAGCTTTGACACTAAATGGAAATTAAACAGCTGCTTCAGAAACTGTCAGAAATCACTGAGAAATTCAGCCTCCTGAAGCAGAAGACAAGAACAGAATGTATTGAGTTGACAGCGTCCTGAACCAAAGCTGGTCAAATGGTTTTTCGCGGGACGCTGACTTCCTTTAACCTCATATGTAGACGTACATTCTGCCTCCACATGTGGTACATTTTTATATCAAAGAACTTTCACATTCCAGGGGGGATTCTGGCTGCATGATGAAGGACACTGCTGCTCTATACACACAAAATGCACCTTACAGCTGAAGTATAATGTTGTTTAGTCAGCTTAT